CTGCCTAGTCTTGGGGCAGGAATGAAAGGGTAATGTGAAACTGTCTTTCCTATTCTCTTTAGTGTACTTTTTTTTTTTAAATTTCTGTGTTCCACCCAGGTGCTGTTAATCCTCATCTGGAATCCCGAGCTCTTGTGAAGGTATTTTCTGCATGGAAATTGATTATTCTGGGAGAGACAAGAGCTAAAATTCCCTATGCCACCATCTTGCTGATGTCACTCTTGGGGATTAAGTAATTTAAGAAGAACCAGAACTCAGTTTTAGAGAAAGTAGCTGGCTAAAACCCAATAGGGAGGTCAGAATCTTCAGCCTCCTGACTAGAATTTGAGATTAAACTTCATACTCCATGGCAGAAGAAGCAAAGGGAAAATGGATAGAATACCCAAGAATCCGAGCATCACCAAGGATCAATTAAGCAGACTTGTCACATGTGATAAAGGTTATATATGGTACTGAAGCACAACATAGTAGTGTCTAACATACTGATCGCTCTTCAGGCCCTTATACAATGATGGAAAGGCCGGAATAGTCTCTTTTCTGGTCCTATTTACAAGTAGAGAAAGAGAAAGGGAGTGAGAGACTCTAAATCTCACTGGACTGTGATGAGCCTGCAAATGGCATACATAATTATAGACCATGAGTGGAAGTAGGGCAGGCAGGTCCTGACAAAAGTAGTATTTCTTCTGAACTAAGTGCTACCTGGAAGACTTTTTCCCCACAACTCAAAATTCTTTTCTCCTGAGATGGTTTCATGTGTCTTATTCTCAAGACTTTTCTTAACCACCTCATCCCCAACTCTTCTACTGAGAGATGAGGTCTTTTCTTGTTAACCACTTCATTCCCACAACATGTAGGCTACAGAATTTGTTTGTGTTAAGGCTGAGAAAGGAGAAAAAAGAGATCTGAGCAGACTCTAAGCATAAAACTACACATCCTAGACAGGAACAAAGAGAAACTAGCCATCAGAATAAGATAGAAAGAAAAACAGCAAGTGACACTTCATAGATTGTGGAAAACTTGACTACGGAAAGGTGACAGAAAACTGAGATTTCAGTGTGTATCATAAATTCTAAGAATTTAGGGACTTGTGGTTTATTTTGGAAGAATTACCAAGAAGGGGAAAAAATGTGAAAGTTGGCTGGACTTATACCAGCAAGCTTACTAAGAATCAAGAACTTTCACATACGATTTAGAAATCCATGGTTATGTGGTTAGAGAAATCTTAAGATGCTACTTGTCAGTCATATGAAATTTTGGATAGATTTTTCCTGTGGGTAGGGAATTTAAGTTCAAGCTGAACTTTTATGAGGAGAAATTGGCTAGAATTCGTTACCCTAGAGCCTAGAGAGGAACTTCAGATATGTTAGTCAGTGATGTATTTGTGAAAAATGTGGATCTAAGGAATTTTAGCCTGTTTTCATATGCTAAAGGCACAGGGCTTAGTTTGAGCAAAAAGGTAGTGGTTTGTGTTTAATAACCTCCCACTTCTTGTATGTCTGCCCCCTATCTCCCTTTACATTTCTTTTCTACCCTGGAGACCCAGGCCCTTCATACTTCAGTCCAAAACTGAATTTCATAAAGGCCTGCATTCTTTCAAAGTTTCCTATATACCTAGCTTCTTATCTCTGCTTTTTGAGTGAAAAAGAATGCTCAGAATGGATAAGTGACTAGCTTACGATTATACAGATTAAAAGTTGTAGAATTCATTTCCAGGTATTCTGATGTCTGTCCATCCTTCATATATGCATTGAATTCATTTGTTCATGTCCTCAATAAATGTTACAGAGAGCATGCTATGCACAAAAGTTCTTTTTCATAGAACCTCCTAAATTTTTCACACACACTTTTCATTTAATCTCCACAATAGCTAAGACAGATGAGTTATTAACCCCATTTTACAGATGACATAGTTAAGGCTCAAAGAGGTTAAGTTAATATGTCTTAGGTTACCAGGTTTATTAAAAGTCAGGGCTGTGACTCGAATTTGGGTCCTCTGAGGCAATGTTCAGTGAATTTCCCGTTAAACAGTGCTAAAGACACAAGGAAGGTAATAGCATATTGTCCCTACCTTCAAAAATGTTATCTAGTTGAAAACCAAGGACACATTAAATAACAACATAAAGCAATTAGGCATGATAAAACACAGTGTTTTAAGTGCCAACTGAATTAAGTAGGAAATAAGCACCAAGGATTGAGAGAGAAGAAGGATCACTGGTAACAGGAATCACTGAAAGCTTCATGGACAGGGCAGACTTTAAGGCACACTTAAAATATTAGGAGAATTTGGGTGGAAATGGAGGAAGGGCTTTCCTGCCATAGTAAATGGTATGAATAGAAACAAGGAAGTAGAAATACACATGACATGTTTAAGGGACAGTAAATAGAGTATTGATATAATAATACCCACTTATTGAAAGGCAACATGGCTTAGTGATTAAAAGCATGGCCTCTGAAGATAGACTCCCTGGGTTTGAAACATGATTCTACCACTTCTTAGCTGCTAACATGTTAAATTAATTAATTTCCCTATACCTTAGTTTTCTCATCTGTAAAATTAGGATAATAATAATACCTATTTCAGAGGGTTGTTACAAGGATTAAACGAGTTCACAAAATATTTAGAACAGTGTCCAAGCACCATGTAAGTTGAGTTAACCAAATAAAGTACTGAAAGTACTGTAAATATACTGTACTCCAGGCACTGTACTAAACACATTATATTATTCTATTTAATCTTCATCATCTTATAAGGCATACATTATTATCTCCATGCTACTGGTAAGAAAACTAGAACTAAGAAAGTTAAACTTCTTAAATCACACAGCTGGTAATTTAAAAAGCTAGGATTCAAACACAAATGCAAAGTCTGTGCTCTTATCACTAAGCTATGCTTTCCATGTATAGGAAGCAGTGGGAAAAAGAAAAGTAGATTGAGGCCAAACTATGGAGGATCTTGAATTCATCAAGCTAAGACAATGAGATCATATACTCTAGGCAGTGAGAAGCAACTGAAGGTTTCTGGGCAGTGCTGTGTCTTAGAAAGATTTATCTGGCCACAGAATTCTAGATGGATTAGAAATCTCTGGGCCATAGGAGTATCAAGTAGACCAAACATATCCCAAAGGAACTTGCAGAAAGTAGGCCAATTTTTTTTGTCCTTCAAACTTACCCTTAAAGATTCATTTATCTATGTAACCTCATTGGGTCTCTAAACCATAATCAATAATAATTTCAGCACTAAATAACCAAAAGAAAAGTTGAGATGTCTATTGGCTGATTCCTAAATCTACTCTAACCAAACAACAGTGCTACATTCCACTGCCTTAATGTAGGTGCAGACATTCATGTATATCCATAGTCTCTTTGTGATTTACAACTGAAAGGTATTTAACAACTAGAAAATGAATCACATGTGTAATGCCTCTTGATTTAATATCCCAACTCACCCCCCCTCACCCAGATGCTATCCCCAACTATAAAGCATTACTGGGGAAAATTACACAACCAGGGCTGATGCTACTACAAATTCACGATCTTCAACCTCAGCTTGGGTTGAAATGTGCTCAGGTAGCTCTAGTCAGGTAACAATTCTCTTGCCCTCAGTGGCTATTTCAAACTTTCACCACTCTTAAGCCTTCTACACCTCTCCCTCATCTTACCATCGCTGACACCTCCTATTTCACACACACATGCTGAACAGATGACTTTTTCTGTATTTTGCTGCAAAAATAACTTTCAGTGCAATCATGTAGGAATTCCTGAGCTCCTTACTTGCCACCATCATGAATTTATCTGTAAACCCACTTATTTTTATGCCTTACCTTCTGGAACAATAAAAAGATATCCTTCTCTGTATCCAAAGCTATCTTTTTATCTGTACTCTGGACTCCCACCCAACTCTATCATATTACTCCACCAACCAATTCCTCCCATTCCCAAATTTTCAATTTTTCCTTCTCTGCTGCCTCTTTCTCTTTAGCTCATTCTCTTAAACAGCTCTATTATTTAAACTTCTCTTTTAACTCATGTCCTCCCCCAACTACCCCCCCTACTCTTCTTCCTTTCAAAGTCAAGTTACTTGAAAGAAGAGCCTTATATTCCTGGAGTTCCTTCCTCTCTTCATCCATTCTTTTGATTTTCCTCAGACCACATGTTCACAGAATGGGATTAATCAGAACCCTTCGTTCATGACACATTCATCATTACTTCGTGCATGGCCCACTTTTAATAATATAGTTAGTTGGTCAGACTACTTGGATTTCCTCATCTCAGACTTTGCCTTACAGGTTTTTCCTGGAAAGCATTCCTTGAATGAATCTCATAACTTGCATTCTCATCTCAACTCAGCTTCTAGAAAACCTAACCACAGACAGTAAAGATAATACAGCAGAAAGATTAAAAAAAAAAAAAGATCCTGAAACATTAGTGAAATCTTGGAATCACCACACTAATCCTAGACTACTTAACCCTGGACTTCTTACTATGTGAGAAAAATAACACTATTTGGTTAAGCTCCTGTAGCTGGGTCTCTCAAACTTGTACTTGAGTGTAGTTCCTAAATGATACACTCCCAAACTTAGCTTCACCCATCCAGATTACTCTAATAAATTCTAGATACACACACCAAGTACTTTAGTAATATCTCCATTTAGTACCTCAAATTCAACTTACCCAAAACTGGACTCATAAATTTCTCCCAAAATATACACTTCTTTCTGCATCTTTAACAACAGTGAATGTCACCTCTAAGTGTTCACTTATCTCAAATAAAACCCCAAATTACAAACAGAACCTTGGATCTCCTACCATTACCTTTCACATCTTCCCTCTGTCATGTTCCCCTGTACCACTGCCCCAGGTTGATTCAGTCACTGAGTGCAGCCCTGTGGATTCTGTCTCATAAATATACCTCAGACATTCTTTCCTTACCATTTCTACTACCAATGCCACTGCCTTACTTCACGTCCTCGGCATTCTCCTCTTTGATGATAGCCTTTTACCTGGTCTACTTGCCTCCTATCTTGATCTTCTGCAATTTATTACTTGCCCACACTTCCACCAAAGGACTTTGTTTTATCAGGAAGCAAAAAAAAAAAAAAAAAGAAGTCCTGCTCTCTTCCCACAAGTAGTCTGCATGGTAAAATAGGATAAATTTCAAGTGCCTGTTTCCTGAAAGAGAAGGAGAGAAACAAAGAGGAAGAAATGAGCTAACTTCTACTGCTGGTTGGACAAGATAAAGATCAAGGATATGAGCAGGCTAAGAAGAAGACCCATTTATTGGACTAATTCAGCAGAAGCAGACACTGAACCAGAGGGCCTAGGAAATCCACCAACCCCTCCTCTTCCCTGCTCTTCAGCCCAATCCCTAGAAAACTTGAGAGGGACATAGGATTAATTTCCACTTGTGATTTGAACTTCCAGCAAACTTCATTTGACCCTCAAATGTCCTTGTAACTTGACGACTGCTGAGTTACAACCCAAATCTGGTCACATCATTCCTCCTCTTAGAATTTAAGAAAATTAAATTTAAGAAAAATGCAAACGTCTTAGTTTAGCCCTATGATCCAGCTATAGCCAACCACCCCGAGTTTACTATACCAACCTACCCAGGTCATACTATTTCATACTTCCATGCCTTTTTGCATGCTGTTCCCCATGCCTGGCACACTGTTTCATTCTACCTTTTCCTCTTTACCGATAAAGTTTATTTGTCCTAGACAATGCAGTTCAAGCCTTTTCTGATCTACCAAGTTTAAATGCCTTTCAACTGGATTTCAGCATCATTCCAGGTGACCTTCTGTTGAAGCATCTCTAAAATCATATAGTAATAGCCAGCAATGAACTTCTTAGGGGAAGAAAGTATAACTTGGTGTCTCCAGAATAGCTCTCACCCTCACACGTAGTAACAGTTTCCCCAAAGTTTGTTTAATGTGTGGTGTTTTTTTTTCCTGCTACCATGTAATAAAGATTTACTATTTGCCAGGCTTTGTATTAAGGGCTTTATGTACATTGTTTAATCCTCACAAAACTCTATAAATTATTATTAATATTTTCTGTTTTATAAACAAGCGAAGTGCACATATAGAGGTTTAGTGACACATCCAAGTTCACACAGTTAGTAACTAAGAATGAGTCAGCAATCTACATCCAAATTAATAATAATAAACATTTGTAAAAGCTTTGAAATGGAAGTGGCTCCATGAGAAAATGCACATGTAAGCTAAAAACTATACTTATTCATTCACTCAACAAATATTTAATGAGAGAGAGGTAGAGATGGGGTCATGCAACTATACTTCTGTTTCTCGAAACAAGTGTCTTATCCCTTTAAAGCAAATACACAAAATAAGTAAAAACAATTAAACCCATTATTTCCCCACTAACTCTCATGGGTTTTTTTTTCTTTTTTTTTTTTTGCAAGATACTAGTCTCTGGACATACAGGTGGGAGTGTTCGTATCTCTACTGAAGCCCTCCACAGTTTTATTGAAAATCAGTTACTTCATTTATTTTTTAAAAAATGAAGATAATTGGTGAAGAAAAGGAAGAAAAAAAAAAACAGAAAGAGTTCATCCTGCACGAAATATTTGGAAAACTACTAGCCATGTTAGTCAACTAACTAGAAGAGCTGGAATTAAAATGGAAAGTAATTGTAACCAAAATAAAAACCAGATAAATTCCAGCTTCGGGCTGCTAAGTCTACACACAAAACAGCCTAATACCAACTGAAATGGATGTCCAGCCCAAATATAAAGCAACAAGTAGGTGTGTTCAAATAGCATTTAGTCTAAAGCTGAGTGTTCATTTGCCAAGCAGACAGGCCATTAAAAACCTGTGGTTTGGGGTGTTTTCAACTGAACCTGAATTTTCAGATGTATAAATTAGTTTACCTCCTTGGAAAGACATGATTTCCTGTTTTTCAAGAGAAATACAGGCTTCTAAAAGCATATTTAAAAGGTTCAAAAGGCTACTTGGGCATCAAATAACTATTAAAAACAATATTTTGACTATTTAAGTGTAAACGAATCAGAAACATATGGATTAAATTTCCCTTAAATTGCACATGCTCCGAACTGAAGAGTATAAGCATGGGTGAAACCTGTTTTGGATTTCAGTGAGCCCCAAACACTGAAAACTCATCCAGAATATTCAGTGAAATCAAGAGTACAGCTGGATTCACCCATCCCTCATTCACCCCTATCCTATGCTTCTGGTCTTAATATAAGAGGGGTGTAAGTACATAAATAGCTTACAGGTAAAATGTCTAGACCTAAACTGAGAGCTGACTGAAAAAAAAAAAAGAGAGAAAATGGAATAAAGTTTTTAAATCTTTCAAAAACCTGTGTTTAAAGAGAAAGTCTCAGTTTTAAGAAAATCTGGAATATTCTTTAGACACTTTATATAACTTCCTTTTGAGTCTCTTTTTAATTAAAGCATATAACTCTAGGATGGAGATGAAAGTAAACCAACATTTTTTTTTGGAGCTTCCACTATGTGCCAAATAGTGTGCTTGAGACTTTCATATGCATTATTTCTTTATTCAGTCCCACCAAAAACCTGCTTAAGGTCCCCGTTTTGCACAAAGGAGAAAAGGCATTTATATTTCATTCAATTTTATTCTCACCTTGAGCTGTCAGCTGTTTACAATAAACAGACTGAGTCTAACAGGTCAACTGAAAAAAAAATTGTTACATTTCCTCATCCAATTAAGCTGATAATATTAAGAACTTAAGTCTTTAGCTACTAATAGAACTACATGGAACTGGGAGACAGCACAAAAAGTGATGAAGAGCATATGTTTAGGGATAGCAAATTACTCAGTCTTTTTGTACCTCGGCCTTTTGTAGCTCCTCTGTGTAACTGGGGTAATAATGCTTACTTTATAAGATTATTGTGAATGTGGAGTGAGAAGCTGTATGTAATGCGCCTAAGAGTAAGTGTTCAGTAAATAACTGTTACATAAGAAATAAGTATATTCACATACTCAATACTTATTCTCCAACAACCAGTGAGAGCCAGACTGCATCACTGCACATAACCCTTCCCAAAATGAACCCTTGGATCTCTCGCCAGACTCTCTGTGATAAACACTTCACCAAACACATGGTAGATAATGAATGGTCCCCACACACCCGGAAGAGGTTGCTTGGAACCACTTCCACCACAAGTTATAACTTTCCACCTTATGGTGTGTGCCCTGTGGGATGCCATGCTGGCTCACCGGAGATTGAGGCTGTTCTAGCACATGTCAGGTTAGAAGCCACCTGTGTCAGTCAGCAGGGCCTACCATGACTCAGCTCGTGCTCACTGAGTATAGTACCACTGTTGCAGGAGCCTCCCTAGTCCTGTGAAAAGCCAGCTGACTCCTTTACTGCCAGTGCAGGGAGTTTACCGGCCTCCAAGAAGTCACAGCTCTTTGTAAGTACACCTCAGCTCCAGCACTCTGCTCATTCACACTGCCATGGCTGGAGGAGGCAGCACAGTCCAATGTGCAGATTCAGAGTAGCTCCAATGCTCAGATCCATTAGCTCTGAGAAAAGAGAACAGACATTGACAGCCCCCGCCCAACCAACCACTCATGCTATCTTATCTGGGGGCCATGCCTCTGGCTCCCTGTGACCTCCAATTTTTGCTCAAGGAAGGGGAGGGAGACGGAAATGGGCGGCTGGGAAGGTTCCCAGAACCATATCACAATTCCATAAAGGAAAATGATCAAAAGTTTTTCTACGACTGCTCCCCTCACCTCGAACACCTCCCTGCATGTCCTTTTTCTTGGAAAAAGGTCTGATTTTCTAGCATGCAGCCCATAAGGTTTTCATAAAATTCTTGTGCAGGTCTTAAACTTCTGAGTTACATCAAACCTTGTCAAATTTGCTGGTTAGTCAACTTTCTGTTGCCTGTCAGTAGTGAAAACCTGACCAGAAGAGGTGTTCTGGCCAGCAGGGATCTGTGAGTCACTTATCTCCATGAGGTTTCAATGAGCCACATTAACTCAAGCACTCTGACAAATCCATACATAAGGTAATTGGTTATAAATGCCTAGTGAGAGGCTGCACATGGAGCGAAGGTGTTGAATGTTGTGTTCTCACCACAGGTAAGAATTTTAAGAGGCAACTTAATGACTTGAGAGCCTTCTAATTCTCATTAGGTCTCTCTTTGGTTGGCTGCTCATTGTTTTAAGTTTGCAGGACCAGAACTAGCTTCAAATCACAGCTAAGAAGGTGAAAGTGACTGGTATTTAACAGAGAGCACACCCTTCAGCTGCGTGCTCTCTGGAAGAAAGAACGGGGAGTCTGCCCTTCCTGCAGCTCTAGTTGATATTCAATTTCAGTTCATCTGTCAAAGGCAGATGTGCTAGCAAAGCAGAATTCTGGGTGCTACTTAAGCTTCCAAACCCCATTATTCACAGTGTTATCATGGGCCATTTTGGGACAAGTCTCCAGGGTTACCTGCAATATTGGGAAGGAGAAAAAAATCATTATTGGAGCTTCTGGTCTGCTAAGAGAAGGTGACTGAGTGAAAACATAGGTTAAGGTCATGCTAAAGGTCAGAGCAACCTCAAACATGATTTACAATTGTCAGTTCCAGATGTACATTTGCAAAGACAGCATTGCAGAGGGGTATCTAGGCAGGAATTTATACTGTAACTGTGATCCAAGGAACCCTGTCCACATCTGTGAAGTCTCCAGCCAGTGGAGGTGGTGACTGTGGGATATCTCTAGGGACCCAGTTCTAGCCCTCAAGGAGACAAATGAGATTATCAGGACCTTGCAATAGCCTGGATTCAGACGGGCTGCTAGACATCTAGGAGACCTGACTGGAATATTAGGAAGGGTAACCAAGCAGGCTACCATGTAGAAAGTGAAGCCCCAAACCCCTATTTTTCCCTTATTTCACCTTGTCACTCACCCCAACTCAGATGCCCAAGTCCATTCCACTCCCCATCTAAGTCAGAAACCTAGGCACCATATATGATACCTCCCTCTCTCACACCCTCTTATACTCAAATCAAACACCAGTGTTTTTTGTTCTCATCCTTAATGTCTTTAAATTTTGTCACTTCTTTCTATTCCCACTGCCATTATCTTGGTTCAGGGCATCATCATCCTAACTCTTCTTGCCTTCCTATCAATCCTCATTTCTTACCACTGCACCCCTTACAGTCTGTGCTCTAGCCCTCCCTAATGACCTGTAGCTCCCTGCATGTGACATGCTCCCTCTTGCTTCTGAACATCTTCACCTTTACTTCCTCAAAGAGGGCTTCCCAATTCCCTAAGACTAGGCCTGGTGCCCCACCCCTGTACTATTACAAACACTATATTTTGGGCAATGAATGCCATACTGCAGCAGCCTCTTTGCCTGCTTTTGTCTTTTTGATTAACTTTGTACTTGCAGCTCGTAGCACACTGCCTGGAACACAGAAGACAATCAGTGAATATTTAATGGGTTATGTGCCTTGGAAACCACACACTTGATATATCAGATTCTGAATCTAGATGATATTCTTTAAATTAGACAAAAAATTAAAAATAGAACTCTCATATGATCCAGCAATCCCACTTCTGGGTATATATCTGAAGGAAATGAAATCGATATCTTGAAGAGATATCTGCACCTCCATGTTCATTGCAGCATTATTCACAATAGCCAAGACATGGAAACAACCTAAGCGTCCATCAACAAATGAGCAGATAAAGAAAATATGATATGTATGTGTGTGTATGTGTGTATAAATATAAATATATAAAATTCAGCCATAAGAAAAGAAGAAAAACCTGCCATTGTGACAACATAGATAGACCTTGAGAACATTATGCTAAGTCAGATAAGTCAGACAAAGACAAATACAGTATGACATCACAGACACGTGGAATCTAAAAAAGTGAAATTCATAGAAACAGAGAGTGGAATGGTGGTTGCCAGGGGCTGGCAGTAGGGAAAATGGGGAGATGTTAAGTCAAAGGCTACAAACTTCCAGTAATAAGATAGATCAGTTCTGGTAATCTAATGAATAGCATTAGATTATAACAACTGAAGAAGCAAAGGAATAAAAATAATACAAACACAAAAACAAAACACCAGGCAGAGGTGATTATAACTCCTCATCTAAACAGAGCTTCGCTAACTTTCTAAGGTGGTGGGAAATAGTAATGATGTTTGAAACTGAACATTGCATACTATGATTTGTTCAGATACTTCTTTTGGAGATATCTACTTTTCAGGAAACTCCTCAAGCCACTCATTCTAATAATGAATCTAGGTAAGTATTTTCTCCAAGCTGACTGTAAATTCACCTTGTCCTCGCACCTACCCCAAATCAAGGCTACCCCAGGCATAAGAAAAACCAAAACCTAATCTCATAAAAGTATTAAGATGTTAGTTTGCTAAAATGAAATCAAACCTTTCTTGCACACCCTTTTCATATAGAAAGCTGAACAAACTGAAATAAAACAAGTTGAAATAAGATAACAATTTTATGTGATAATATGAGAAAAAAAGTAAAGATCCTCAGGGCACAGTAATGTCACATCTAAAATTGGTCAGAAAGTTAGGACTCCTGGATCTGTTTTCACTAACTAGCTAATCAAAAAAATTTCTATGATGTACTCGATAATTTTTCATGCATTGAGATTTGCCCAAATCTGCTAATCATGTCAACTTCATGCACTGCCTGTAAAAGCTGGGCAGCTATCCCATATGATTCTGCACGTCGCTCGCTACACAAAGATGCCCACCCTACGCAATGACTGGAAGCTGAAATCCAGCCTGAACTCTGCTCAACAAGTTTTGTGCCCTAGCATAGGGCTTGCATTGCTCACTGGACAGGACACCTTTTTCTAATCCACACAAATGCACTTTATAAGTAGCAGATATCCTGCTTGAAATGGTTAAGACTCAGACACTGTCATAGCTCTCAAGTAACACTAGAAGATCAAACTTCTGAATTATATATTCCAGAGATACCAAACGCCCTCATCAATCTGAGGATCCACCATTCTGCTCTCTAATCATCATGACTCTGAGCCTGAACCATAGAATGAATCCACTCAACCCCTGCCCATCAGAACTTTTGCTTATAGTGGAAACTGCCAGACCTTTAAACCATACAGAACGACAACAACAAAGGCTGTAAGAGTCAGCTTGAGGCTAGAGAGTAAGCAAAATCCAAGCTTCTGTTTACATCTCCAACCTTCTTGATTCCAAGTTCCTTGAGCACACTTGCATCTTTGGCTGGTAGTACAATTATCTCAACTCTCTGGGAACCCCATCTTTCTTGGGGTGCAGCCCCTTAGATATCAGCCCTCTGACAGATTTCCTGGATCTGGTATCAGTCTCATTCCTCCGCCTTTCTAATCCACTCCCCTCTGAGGCTGACCACTGTCTCCACTAGTGATGAATGTGACCCCAGGTCCAACATTTAGCCCAATATTGGGAAAGCTCTGACATGGCACAAGTGGTAAGCCTGACAATATGGTGTATTTTATGGATGCCAAAATACCAAACTTCAAAAAAGTGTTTTCTTCTTACGTATTACTTTACTATCTTCCTTAACTACTTATCTTGAAAATCTCATCAAGTGAGACCAAAAGAGCACATCATATCCTTATCTTTATTAACAACAATAAAAACAATAAGAATAACAAATATCCACTCTGGTGAAGACCACAGAGCTAAGTTCTAGAAAACAAAATTGTGAAACCCAGGTCCAGCTCTGGAGGGTTGCCCCATAAATACTGAATCATGTCTTAGAACAGCCATCATTGGTGGGACGTTCTGGCCTTAGCTGGGATGCTAGAGGAACCGCAGGAGGGCAGCGAGATTGAGACTGCAGGCCTAGACATCAGGGACCTGCTGGGAGTAGGACAGTGGACTCACTCTTCAGCCCTCAGTTTTTCCTAAGGTTAGCCCTGCTGCTGAATTCCCCTCCCTCCTCAGTAGACGTCTTCTAAAATCAACCAATCTCTTTACTGTCTGTAGATGTTTCCTCACCCACAACATCTCACCTTATTCTCCCCCAAATGTCATATTTGGCTTCTTGTTTTTGCGTTTAAACTGACCCTTTTCAACCATGACTCTCTTCCTTAGGACCCAAAATCATTTCTTACTTTATTCAGAACCAGGCTCTAAAATCTTTACGTTTTCCAGAATGCTTTAATAAACTAGGAGTTTTCCAGAAATGATGACTAACATTTGCTTAATTCATATTACAACTACAGTCTTGCAGTACTCTGGTGGGACCAAGGAAGGCTTGAATCGTCCTTCCTCTGTAGCCCTACCATCCTTCTAGATGGACCTAGCCTGATGCTGTGTCTTTGAAGACTGAAATCCACCCTGACACCACTAGCTTTTCTTGACATGACTATTTATGGCTGCATCATTCCTGTGATCTGCATGTTAATTTCATTCATCTTGCCCTTCTATGGTTCTACTGCTCTCATAACTCAGTTAGTTTTTGTTGTCTGAGGGAGGAAGATGAGGAAGGAAGAACTAGTCTTAGCTGATAAAACTGACGCTTTATATGGCAAAGAGAAAAGAAGAAAAGAACCTGGGTCCTTGATGAATTTTTTACTGGAAACCTAAGCATTCATCAACAGATGAGTAGATAAAGAAAATATGATATGTATGTGTATGTGTGTGTAAATATATATATATATATATATATATATATATATATATATATATATATTACATGTAACACAGAATTTGCCGTTTTAACCATTTTTAATTGGACAATTTGTTGGCATTAATAACATTCACAATGTTGTACCACCATCATCACTGTCTATTCTTCATTGTCCCAAAGAGAAACTTTGTAAACATTCAGCAATAGCTCCAATCTCCCCTCCTCCCCAGCCCCTGGCCACCTCTAACCTACTTTCTATCTCTATAAATTTGCCTGGTCTAGGTATTTCCTTTTTTAATTGAAGTATAATTGACTTTCTAGATATTTCATACAGGTAGAATCATACAATATTTATCCTTTTGTGTATAGCTTATTTCACTTAGCATAATGTTTTCAAGGTTGAAGGCTTGTGAGCTACCCATTATCAACAGTGTATTCATGATTCAATTCATATTTTGTGTATCTGGTTACAAATTTTGTATAGCATTTAATTTGACTCAATACAAATCCATTTGATTTGAATATAGTGGGGGCTGTGTGTGTGTGTGTGTGTGTGTATGTGTGTGTGTGTGAGGTGTGCACACTTTAGTTCCATGAGCCTTGGGAAACATTCTAAAAATATAAATAGACATAAATGTATAAGGCTTATTTTTTTTTGCAAAGTGACACATACACTCCTCTATTTATTATATCACTGGCATTGATTTTATGTAGAGATATTTGTAAATAGATTTCAGAACAGTATTAAAATTACAGCTAGATAAATGTGTATTATTAAAAAAAAACTCAGATATTTATACAATGGAATACTACTCAGCCATAAAAACCGACAACATAATGCCATTTGCAGCAACATGGATGCTCCTGAAGAATGTCATTCTAAGTGAAGTAAGCCAGAAAGAGAAAGAAAAATACCATATGAGATCGCTCATATGTGGAATCTAAAAAACAAAAACAAAACAAACAAACAAACAAAAAGCATAAATACAGGACAGAAATAGACTCATAGACATAGAATACAGACTTGTGGTTGCCAGGGGGGCGGAGGGTGGGAAGGGATAGACTGGGATTTCAAAATTGTAGAATAGATAAACAAGATTACACTGTATAGCACAGGGAAATATACACAAAATTTTATGGTAGCTCACAGAGAAAAAAATGTGACAATGAGTGTGTATATGTCCATGTATGACTGAAAAATTGTGCTGAACACTGGAATTTGACACAACATTGTAAAATGATTATAAATCAATAAAAAATGTTAAAAAAACTCAGAATTTCATTGCTTTTTTATTGCTGAAAAATAAATGTTCCATTGTATGTATATACAACAGTTGCTTTTCAATTCATCTGCTGATGGACATTTAGATTATTTGCATATTTTGGCTATTGTGAACAATGCTGAAATGAACAATGACATACAAGTATCTGAGTGTCTGCTTTCCATTTTTTCAGTTATACACCTAGGAGTGAATGGCTAGCTCCTGTGTTAATTCTATGTCTAGCTTTCTGAGAAATCGCCAAATTGCTTTCCAAAGTGGCCACACCATTTTACTTAAGGGCTCCAATTTCTCCACAACCTTACCAATATTTGTTATTTTCATATTTAAAAAGTATTACTATAGTCATCCTAGTAGGTGTGAAGTGGCATCTCATTGTACTTTTGGTTTGCATTTCTCTAAAGCCTAACAGTATTAAGCACATTTCCATATTGGCCATTCATATCTCTTATTTGGAAAAACATCTATTCAAGTCCTTGCCCATATTTTAATTAGGTTGTTTATCTTTTTGTTGTTGAGTTGTAAGATTCTTTACAAATTCTGGATATAGGCTTTTATCACAGATACTATTTTCAAATATTTTGTAGGTTGTCTTTTCACTTTCTTGACAACGTTCTCTGATGCATGAAAGTTTTTCATTTTGATGAGGTCAATTTAACTAATTTTGCTATTGTTGTTCTTGCTTTTGGTGTCATATCTAAGAATCTCCTGCCAAATCAAAGGTCATGAAGATGATCCCTTTGTTTTCTTCTTTTATAATTTTAGCTCTTATATTTAGGTTGTTGACTCAATTTAATTCCATTTTTGTATACAATGTGAGGTGGGGGTACAACTTCATTTCTTTGCATATGGAAATCCTATTGTCCCAGCAACTCTATTGAAGAGAATATGCTTTCCCCATTGAATGGACTTGGTACCTACATCAAAAATCAACAGCCATAAATATATGAGTTTACTTCTGAAAGCTCAGTTCCATTCTATTGATCTATGTGTCTATCTTCATGCCATGATGACTTATTAAGTGACTAAATTAACAAGCCCTGAAGGCGACTATATTTATTTTCTATTGTTACTATAACAAATTACTACAAACTTGGTGGCTTAAACAAAAAGTTATTACTTACAGTTCTAGAAAACAGTGGTCCAAAATGGGTTTCACTACGGTAAAACCAAGGTGTCAGCAG